TGCTGCCTCATAGGCACCGCCGCCATTTCGCGCTTCAGCGGCGGCAGGGCACTCGCGGAAGATGAATGCTCGTACCGAAATTCGAGGCAAAATTCTTAGATTGCCCGAGGGGAAAATTATCGTTATATCAAGGTCGTCTCCCCTTGTTACTTTGTTACATAGCGGTCACAAATGCATGTGCTTCTATGGAGCAATGGTGGGCAATAGAAAAACTTCGTTATATCAAGGAATTTTCTATATGAAGGTTCATGATAAGTAGGTATAACTGCAGGATCAACGCTGGCACAAATTTTGGGGTGGTACGAATTTGCATGTGGTCCCAGCCAAAGTTCACTAGCCTGCAATGTAATGAAGCTCAGTTATTGAGAACCAATTTTCACCCATGGACGTTTGATATAAGCGTAAGCTACTGCACAGGTATACACTGGCACTGCCTGCACTGTCACGGAAGATGCGGCAGTCGCATGCAGGCACAGGAACCCATGCGCTGGCTAGTCATTTTTCAATGAATCTAGTGCGGGCATGCGTTACAGCCTGCCAGTTTGCCAAATCATGGCGCTTCGTAGCCTCCAAAATTGTGCAAACGAGTCTTAGAGGATGATCCATGTGCCTTCGCTTCCAGATTACAGATGGTGATGACATCATGTCCTTTTTTTCCCTCTCCATTGAGTCAACACGTATTTTTGTGCTCAAAGCAGAGTAGATGCCACGTAGATGCAAGCCATATCCTCATATCCAGACATCCTATTAAAGGCAGATGAGAACTGATAGAAGTAATGGTTTGTTTAGGCGAAGGAACCAGGCCTCGCTACCTCACCATGCACTACTGTAGGAGATGCACACACCTACGAACTCTCCGATTTTGCCAAGGAGACTCCCCAATTTCGAGCAAAGCTTTTAATTGTGCAGAAACAGCCGTAAATCTACTGACAAACATCACAAAAAACCACTGTGCAATTAAAAGAATAAAAACAAAGAACAGCGGTCCTAAATTTCCTGGCTTCCATCTACTCATGCTATGCACTTTTAGAGTAGTTTTTGCTGCAAAACTTTGCAGTTGTGCGGAAAAGCGTAATAAGATCTAGAAAGGGTTACTAGATGTCACAGATTACGACAAATCTGAATCATTCCTAGATTTTCCTATATATACACCAGAGGAAACTATGGCACTAGTGTCTACGGGAGCTGCAATGCATGGCACTTCAGCAAGCACGGAAATGATGGGTAGTGCATGGATTTGCCTAATCTTCCTACTGTTACGGGGTTGGCGACTTCTGTACAAAGTGCATTTACAGAGGAAAAACCACAGGCAAGAGTCACAATGGCTGATTGGCACACTCGCCCGCCTGTCAGCTCCTTGTGTCCTTCCTCTTCTTTTACTTCATCTCTGTAGCAATACTTTCATATCCGTTTGGTTTCACGTGGCTGGAGAGGTAACGGGATTTATTGAGCGTAGAGCAGGTTACTGATTAGGCAATGCACCGGCCACAGTTCACGAGCTCGAGCCTCTGATGCACGCTCTATGCTGCTGCCTCTGTGCTAGAGTACTTCTTTTACAATGGCCCTGTACAAAAAGGAAAAAAAAAAGAGCCATCCTGGCGGCTTAGTCGTCAACAGGCACCACAGAACCATGGTACAGCTTGAGTCTCTGAACGTGTAAAACCTCGTGGTTACGACGTCGTAGGTCAGACAGTGGCATAAAAGGCTCAATAAGGTAATTTACTGGAGATGTCTGTTCGAGAATACGGTATGGCCCATTGTACTTTGGCAGGAGTTCGGAAGAGAGGCCTGATGTGTGACGCGGCACTGACAGCCACACAAGGGCAACAGGGATAAAAACGGGAGTTGAGCTCTGGGCATTATGAATTGCTTTTTGGCAGTTCTGGTCATTGGAAGTGAAGCGGCGGGCCAGCTGGTGTCAGTCATCTGCATGTCTGGCGGCGTCCAAGATATGCAAGCACTCGGACGGATGCAGTCAATAGGGCATGATGGTGTCAATGGTGTGGGACTGCCAGAGAGGAGTTAAAAAAGGGAGGAACCCGTTGTAGCTTGTGTCGCCGTATTGCAGGCTGTTGCGATCGGTGAACCTGCCTTTGCCGCGCGTGCCGAGACTGAAGAAAGGAAGCCGCCGATAAGAAGGAACGCGAAGAATCCCGGCTGTTTTTCATGATTTGGGAGGTGCGTGGTTGTAATTACTGCCGGCAGCACTGCTGTCGCTTGTGCCGGCGCGGAAATGCGACATGTGGCGCCTTCGTACACTGAGGCCCCGACGTCGAGTTTCCGACGAAGACTGACCTCACACCACCAGGCTGTGTGTCTCTGGCTGAGAGGTCACCGACGCTCAAATCAACGCCAGATGACCCATCACGTGTCAGTGAAGTCACCTGGCCTGCGACCACCGTTCAACAACGTGGCTGGTCGGCCCGAGCAGCGACACGATGGACTCATTACATCCCGTTTGCTGGCAGCATGATTCCCTGGATGCGACAGCATGGCCGATACACTCCCTGTTTTGGGTTGTTGTTGTTGTTTGTTTGTTTGTTTGTTTGTTTGTGTGTGCGTACATGTGTGTTTGTGTGTGTGTGCATGTGTGTGTGTGTGTGTCTGTGTGTGTGTGTTGGGGGCGGTGCCGGCAAAATGACCCTCAACAGTGGTGACATGATTGGGTGAAAAGGTATCTCTCCGTTTCCCTAGGAATGGCGTCTAGGGACAAAAAGCAGCCGCATCTTTCTGAGAGAGCGCCTTCGACGAGATCGTCACAATGTAGGACGATACCTTCGTCTAGATGCTCGCCTTGTGGCGAGAAATGCTCGCTTGTAAATATGTAGAATAAACCTCTGTACAGTTTTCCTCATCAGTCTCTTCATGCTCGACGTCTTCCTCCCGAGTCTCTCGGTGCCGGCAACGGCGAAGTCCCAATACCCTCAACAATGAATAGCAGCGGTAGGAACCCTAGTCAAAACAACAACTTCAATAAGGCGTAGGTAACGAATGGGAGAACTAGGGCACAGTTAGAGAATGATCAAGCGTCCCGTATATAGCGAGCATGTCACTGAGATTTCGACTAAAGCGCTCGGTAGCACCGCTGGTTTAAGGGTGGGAAGCGGTACATGTGCGATGTACAGTAGCACATCCAGTGAGCAATTGTTCAACGACTTTGAACAAGAAGGCGCAGCCACAGTCACTGAGGAGTTCTTGAGGGCCTTCATGACAAAGTACAAAATGGTGCAGTATGTAAGTGGCGACCTACTGTGCTGTAGCCACTTGAAGAGCAGCAGTCCCGGCATAGCGCGTTAAATGGTCGATTGCAAATATTATTCACCTGTTGCCGGTAAGAATCAATGGAAGCTGCCCATAAAGATCTACACCGAACCACTTGAATAGTCGGCAAGGGCATGGCAAAGGCTGCAGTTCACCGGCAGACTCATGCGGTGGATATTTTCGGCGCTGACATTCGGGGAAAGAGCGGACAAGTTGCAGACGAAGGTATACATGCCACGCCAGTAGTAATGGTGTCAAAGCCTTTCGCAAGTCTTGGAAACTCCTGCATGGCCACATTGTGGGTCAGGGTGTAGTGAGAAACATATTTCCAACCTCGAGGCTCGCAGAACGACGAGCAGCCACTTGTGTCCCTCTGGTGCATAGTTGCGTCGATAGAGAAGCATGTCACGAGTCGAAAAGTGTGAAACTTGGGGCCGGAGCATTTGAGTCTTTGGGACTTCAGAGGGGTCGGACAGATGACTGAGAAGAGACACAGTCCACAGGTCATTGCATTATTCGACACCAATGATGTCAAAGTCAAAAGATGACAATGTGGGCTCACAAGTGGAGTCAGCAGTGGTGTTCTGGGAAAGAGGAATGGGAAAGAGCATAAGCGTCAACATGCTTCCGTCCTGAACGATAAACGATGCGTATGTCATATCTTGGCTTTTCATTGCCCAGCAAGCAAGGCAGCCAGATGAGTTTTTTAATGTCAAAAGCCAGCACAGCGCGTGATGGGCAGTCATGCCAAGAAAAAAACGGCCATATAAATATGGGCGAAACTTGCCAAGCGCCTATACAATAGCCAAACATTCCTTTTCTGTGATGCTGTAGTTTCTCTCTGCCTTAATGAGTGTGCGACTCACGTATGCGACGACATATTCCGTATGACCAGGTTTACACTGAACGAGCACAGCACCCAGCACCTCTACCAAACATAAAGGAGACTTATTGAGCGTAGAGCTAGTTGCTACTTGGGCAATACCCCAGCCACTGCTTACGAGCTCGAGCCTCTGCTGCATGTTCGATGCTGCTGCTTCTGTACTTACAAAACAAAAATCAGTAAATATTTGCAGTTGCACTTCACCACCTACACCTTTCAGGCTCACCAATCCAAATCGGCTGATATGTATTTAAAATGGTCGATTCTCTTATTCAAAACAAAACCAAAACACAGCAATTATGAAGCCACAAGTGCGTTTGAGGCCCGCAGGCACGAAGACTAGGTAAATCGGTGTTATATCCATCATTCCCATGGTCGCTAAACGATCACAGTGCTAGAGTACCACCTAGTTAATTTTAGGAAACTTCAGGGGTTCACTAAATACATGTGCCGTATTTCCGGGTAACAACATTATTGGCAGTCATCCATAGCTGTTCACACTGACAATGCAGCAGCCTTAAGAAACAATAAATCAAAATGCACGACTTTTTTTTTTATGCCCATTAATTTTTCATATATTCTGGTGATACGAATTTCAGATGGTACAAATATTATTGGTAACTATGCGAGAGTCGTATTACTGAGGTTTTACTGTAAATAAAACACATACAAAAAAATAAAACCATTTTTCAGATGCTCTCCACAAACCTTCTACCTTTAAGAGATGTGAAAAACATTTCAAACAAAGCCCGAAACACTGGAGAGGTAACATATTAGGTTTCCAGCATGAAGATAGATAACTCGGCTAACATTGTTTATGGCAGCCAAGTCACGTTGCAAAAACAAACTTGCCTACCTGGCCTCTGTACCAAGTGGCATCCTCACTGAAGAGTGCACAGACATAGTCTCCCTTGGAGTATTTGGTAACATCCGGCTCAGGCCGCTCACTCTTCACCCAGGCCGTTCAGTGCCACCATCATGGCCTGCAAATCTGAAGCCAGGCTCTGCTGGTGAAGGTAGAGTACCTCTGTGGTTTTCCAGACAGGTATCATGGGGCACTTGCTCGTCGGTAGTTTCCGCTGTGGCACGTGCAGAACTTTGGCATCCACCTGCTGACTTGGCAGCGGTTGAGACCGTGGAGAAGCGCTGGGCTGTAGGCAATATGAACATACTTGAAACAACAAATCAAGATAATGAATGTGGAGACCGATTCATCTATCCTCTGGCAATGCCGGCTCGAGTGGCATAAGGCCCCCTGCTTGTCTTGTACACACCCGCACACACAAACGAGTTGCTCACTTTTGCCACACTGTCGCGGAGCTTCCAGCACGCCGTGTACGACGTGTTTTCCAGAGCCCATCTTCGATGACCACAGCTAGACAATGACAAAGCAGCATTGTATTGATATCCTACAAACATTCACTATTGCTTTCCTTCACAGACAAGCAATAGAGCAAAATGACAAATTTTCTGCCACTATGTAAGTGTTTTGTGCAAGTTCTGCCTTCAGTTTCTCTTTTGTTTAAATTGCACCTTTCCTTTCAGTCTTTTGTCTGAAACTACATTTGACAAAAACCTTTTTACAAGAAATGTTATCAGGAATTTGCCAATTTCGTTATATCCAGGTTTAACTGTACTTTGGCTCAGCAGCTATAGCCCCAGCCACTGCCAAAAAATGTTCTGCTTTGGCTACCCCTCACAAAAATCGCATGTACTTGAAACATTTGACCACTGGCATTACCATAAGTTTCACTTTCTGGTTAGTTACGTAAAGTCAATCGACATAATTTCGAGAACGTGTACCTCTCTGAAACATGTCGATCATGAATCAGTGAGCCACTATTGATATCTGAAATAAAGTAGCAAATAGGGCCTGTTGGAACATACTGGTAGTTGGAATATACATAACTATTGAGATCATCAGTTCATCACTACTTACATGCATTCGCCCATGGTAGTCAATATGTCCAAACACATGAATAAACTTGATTACGTTTACGTTAAAAAGAACTGTATTATGGACATGAAGATATGAAAAATGAAGCACTGTGTTATACTGTGAATTTCATTATACAGCAGAACCTTGGTAATATAAAACCCTCCGATATGAATGATACAATTATATGAAATTTCCCGGCTGAATTCATATGTTCATTGGGCCAAAGCTAAGATGTTCCCATCTTTTCCGCGTTGTGATGGGTGAGATATGAACACTGGTGCTCTGAAACCGTTGAGCGACAGTCGAGAGCAGAGTGCTCCATAAGCTTCAAAGATGTTCAGTGCATGCACAGTCAGAACCATGATTAATCGTTTGTCACAACGGATGTAGACGAAACTGCAGTCGCTATCAATGCAATAGTGTATGAAGACGATGAAACTTCAATTGAACATGTGCATCCAACACTTACCGAGTCGAAGCGGTGCCCCTTATTGCGATCTCGGCAGACCAAACCACCCGAGACATGAGCGTAGATAGCAATTAGTATAGTAGCATACAACTTCAGAATCTTGTGGAATTTCCTCCTCACAGTTGGATGTATGCAAGTCTGCCCCAATCGGTGGGCACTCTAGACTGATGTCATGAGCCAGGCAGCTAACAGCCCCACCTTCGAAGAACACTGCCGCGTGCATGAGTAGGATTATTTCTTGCAACGCAGAGGCAATCAGCTGGCGGACTTCGGTCATCTGGGCGGGGAGGGGACTCTTCGGAATTCTTAAGTTGTAGAACATTTAGTTGGGCTAGTTTGTGCATGTTTTACGGAGAAAAATCGGTTGTTTGTAGGCGTTGGTTTATGTCTCTTCTTGTATTTGTTTCGTTTGTGTCTTATTTGAGCTGTATCCATACCTGCCAAGTTCAAGGATTCTGAATCCGGGCCATTATCGCAAGCAGGGGAATGGGGGGGGGGGGGGGGGTCGATGCACAATTATTCCCCCCCCCCCCTTTTGGCACAAAAAGGGCATCACAAAAATTAAAAACAAAAAAAGAGGGGGAGTCCCGATTGCAAGCACAAACATCGGTGTTGCAGTCTTATAATGGCTTGAAGTGGCCGAACACCGGAGAGTAGGATTTCCCACTGAAGTGAGAGTCTCAAAGAAGGTAGAGTGCACATACTCCTGAAATTTTGCATCATCAAAACAACTAGCAAAAACTATTTCTGTGACTCGCATGTCTTCCTGGGACACACGTGAACAGACAGGACGGCACAGCTGACTACGGCAAAAGCGTGGGTCAAATCTTTGGCTTTGCTGACTACTAGATTCTTCGGACAGAAACGCCAAAACGCTTCTATAGTCTTTTTTTCTGTACTGCCTTTAATCTACTGCCGCATCAGCCGCATGTACTCGGAGCTCATAGATCGCCATCGCTTTGCCACGATTGCTGTTTTGTGGGAAAAGATCGTTTTGTTCTCAATCCGCATGCGCTGGCTGCGCACGTGCCTTGAAAACTAAGGTATTTTATGCTATCTATTAGTGTAATCGATTGGCAGATTTGGAATGGCAGACTAACTCTGCGTCGGAGCATTCCACTCTGGCAGAGGGAAACAGGAGGGAATCTACCAATGGAACCCACATGCTCCCTCTGGAGCAAATGGCAGGGTCAGAATGTAACGTGAATCACGCTTTTCTCTTGCATGAGTGGACACACTAGGCACAGTGACGCGACGCTAGCAAAACGCGAGCTCCGACGAGAGGCGCAACTGATGCAACAGCCGTCCGTTGGCGCGCCCAAAATCGACACAGTTTCAAGGCCCGGTGCGTTTGCAACTTCCGGATGTATCCGCCGATTTTCGCATAGTAGGAAAAGTTGCCCCGTGGAATGGATCCCGCGATGGAGCTGCTGAAGATCCGCCAATGAAACATACAGGGAGCTCTCTCAATCTGCCAATGGAATAGACTTGCTCCTCATGGAGCAAAGAAAGTATTACCAGAAATGCTCCAAATCTGCAAATGAATGACACCATATGATCGCATCTGCCGCGGTTTTGTCCACAGAGTTTGCAGAAAGCAGCATTGCGCTAACTGGTCGAGCGTTGGACGGGCGCACACTTTCGGAAATCTGTCAGCAACGTCGTCACCATACATGATCATGTCAAAAACGACCGCGGTTTTGTCCACAGTGGTTGGGGCAGTGACAACCACACGCACTTCTGAAGCTTCAAGCACGCTGCTGTCGATCAACCTTCTTTTGATGGCTTCGGTACTAAACTTCATATCACCCGCCGCGATTAGGAAAAGTGTACGGAACATTCAAATTTTGGCCCAATGGACACAGCGGAGTTTGGCTTGAGAATTTCATGAACTCGTATATGCCGCAGTTTCGCATCACTGAGATTCTATTGTACGTTTAGATGAACGCCTCCTAAATTCATTTATAATAAAATGTGGTAGGTTCGCAAAAAGCCTGGAATAGACCGATCTACATTTTTGTCAGTGCAGCCAGATCACGCACAGAAATTTTGATTACCGGGAGATTTTCATGACAACCGTACAAACAAAAGAAACGATCAAAATCCTAAAGTCCTGGCAGGTATGTGTATCTGACTATAGCTCTGAAGGCACCTGTGGGGCCGGCATACACAAATTGAAAATAGAACCACCATTTGAACACAATTGCAGTCCACAAAACTGACAGAACTGCGAAAATGTAAATGCATACGGTGCTCTAAAGCGATGATGTTTACCACAACAGCTTCAGTTATAAAACTATGGCAGATGAGATCATAGATGGCAATAAACACATTAATTTTAAAAGCTAATGTGTGGCCAGTTCACACACATTGTAAATGGAACTATCATTCCCTGCATCCACTGCGTACGAAACCATGGTCGCCGTAAGACAATCATCGATAATGAATGTGCAGCTTCGAAGGCAATAAAGTGGTAAAACTGCATGAAGCTTTTAAGCATTCCTGATTTTTTTTGGCTTGTAACTATGGTACAGTGGACTTTGGCATTGAGTTTTCAGTTGGCCACAAGTACAGCTTTGACACACTAAATTACAGTAAGGTCACAGGAGGAAACAAGTTTCTAACGTATCGTCACCCTCTCTTCTCCTCCGGATCACCGCCAGAAGGTTCAAAGCTTGCATAAAAAATGGAATGTTTTTCTTCAGTTATTAAGGCAGATAGAAACAATTATAACAAATTACAAGAAAATGGAATGTACATTGAACTGCTGCTTATTTGAATATTAGCGGTACAACACAAGAGCAAGCATGATGTGTGTCTGGACTGGCAACGTCGTGAGAGTTCTGTATTTCACACCATTAGCCATGGCATCTCCCTTTCTACATCGCAGTTCGCCCAGTTCGCCGAATGTGTTCTTTTGCTTTTGCATATGATGTGGCACATTTAACGTGCTTCAAGCTGATCTTGTAAGTGACCACATGGCGTGACGATTTGATGAGTGATCACAACCAACTTGTGCACACGTAAGGGAAAACCACGGCCGGACCAGAACAAACACTTGATTAGCAGCGCTGTGACAATTTTTTTTTTCTCTTTTTTCAATTGTGATGTCAAAAAGGACGAAAATGGACTTGTATCGCAATGTGCATGGCAGCGCCATTGCAAGGTAGGTGCATGGAACTCTACAAAAATTGAGAGTTCTACCAGTGACGTGTGCCAAAGCATCACACTACCGATCCTTCATGTCCCGTTCTAGAGCAACTGGCTCGAACAGCTTTAAAGAACTGTCTAGTGTGAAATATTCCTTAAAATGCGTTCATTAAGTCTTCAGCTCTATTTACCTGCACGTGCATACCCCCAAATATTTTTAACAACGGGAATGCATTATCGCTTTTTCATTGGTAATCGCACAAGTATCAACGCTGAATTTTGAGCAATATTAGTTGATGCTGCAGATGGTGTCAGCCGTTTTGGGTATCGTCTGGTGTCTTTTAGAGTACTGTTCAGGTCGCATAAACAGACGGACAAACCAAAATTTTTGTCAAAGGTCGCCAAGAAAGACTATCGTCGTTAAAAGTTTTCAAGGTAGCAACACTCATGGTTCTCGATGCCGCCCTTCTCACTCTCTTGCTTACACCTCATTTTTACAGTCATCTGCATCTGTAATTGGTGCACGCTCCTGGCATTTCAACGAAAACCAACATACACTTGCCTCGAGTTGTGTCGATAGCGTTGCACAAAAGCCTTTGCATGAAATGTTACATAGCTACACTTCACGGTGTGCACCATTTCAGATAACACGAGGTATGAGGAGAGCGAAACCGTTTTCCGTTATTTTACTGCGACTCAACATTGTTGAAAAACTCAGATGTTGCACTGAACATGCACCACGAAGGAATATTGGCCAATTTGACGCCAACTGGAACCTCTGCAGTTTGCGTCTTGGCTACAATTTTGTCTTTTGTCACGGCAAGAACCTGAGCGGAGCTGTATGAACACGTGAACTCGTTTTGAACCTTCTACGTAATAATGAATAACACCACCAGCCACTTACAACATCATTAGCGAAGAATGCACCAATTACAGATGCAGATGACTGTAAAAACGAGGTGTAAGCAAGAGAGTGAGAAGGGCGGCATCGAGAATCATGAGTGTCGCTACCTTGAGAACTTTTAACGACGATAGTCTTTCTTGGCGACCTTTGACAAAAATTTTGGTTTGTCCGTCTGTTTATGCGCCCTGAACAGTACTCTAAAAGACACCAGACGATACCCAAAACGGCTGACCCCATCCGCAGCATCAACTAATATTGCTCAAAATTCAGCGTTGATACTTGTGCGATTACCAATGAAAAAGCGATTATTGTGCATATCTCAGACACCATAACAACACGTCAATATTACGTATGTGTCTTTTTACCAGAAAAGGCATACATAAGTAATTCTAAGGACCGTAGCGTTTATCACGCTGTGCTGACAATGCAATGCTTGCTCGAAAAGGCAAGTGTTTCCAACGCTTTGCTAAGACAACACGGTGGTGGCATCTACCCGTCACCTGTGATGTGACTTGATGCGCTCGTTCGCCTCACTGCACGCTCGAGGCACTCTAATGCAGTGCCGCCAGAATACCATTCACCAATTTTCTTGTGCAGAACATCAAATAAACGTTTTGTTCACTCTCTCCAAATGCAAGACTATCAACGACATTTGCAGTGTAACATGCAGATACAAGGCCATTTTTTATCTAGGAACCTTAGATCGTAGAAGCTGCCATCGCTTAATGACTCATTCGTGTCCGTTAAGCAAGAAATACGAGAGTTCTTGTGACAGAAAATATTCTGTGCGTATGTATACTGTGGTCTGAAAACAGATTTTGCTTGTTTATTCGCGATATGAAAGTTCGGGTGATACAAATATTTTCTCTCCTACTTGAGATTAGTATCACCAGGATTCTACTGTATTAAAATTTGCTCTATAATTGTGCGACTTTTAAGCAAAATGAACAAAGTGTAGCTATATTTCGGGACAACTTTCTGAGGCAAAAAAGGGAAAGGTATGGGGCAGGCTAGACTCACTTTTCGAATTACGGCTGTGTTCAAATAACACCACGGCATGAAACCTGCTATACTCGGCGACAACTTGTCTTGACATTGGAGCAAAGGCTACGGAGGCGGGGCCTCCGCACATTTGTGTTACTGCACAAGTAGTCCACTGCACAAGCAGTGGATTTCAGTTCCAGTTTCAGTTTTCTCTTGATCGCAAGGCTAGCGTGTTTAGGAAAACATATGCATGCATAATGGGAAAGCCAGAGCTAAACTTTGAGCGTGCATACATTTACTGTACCGTAAATATGCTGCTCCACAGAAAGTTTTACGCTGTTCAGAAGGTTTTCCCAGCGTAATTTCGTCTTTTTTAGGTTTCGGGTACGGTCAACAAAAAGTGTGGTGTATACCTCAGCCCAGGATATACAAGCACGCGCTACGCAAATGTTTACGTTCACACTGGCAGGCTCATAGCCAGGGGGGGTACCCGAAATTCAGATGGAGAAGGGTGTTTTACTGCAAATAAATAATAAAAAAAGGTGGTTTTTGAAGTTCTCAACAGGTAACTAGTTTCAGATTTCAACAGGTGTCTTGTTTCAGCAAGTTTCTTGTTTCAGTTTTGCTGTATTTGGTTTACGTCCACAAAGACTGTCAGCAATGATCAACGCAGACTGCGCCTCACTGTTCAAAAAGCCTCACGATTGTAGTAGATTGTTCTGTTAAGATTGTGTGCAAGACGCAAACAATCAAGCTGATTTCAGAGCTTGCGCGACCACAGGTGATAAGGCTGGAAAGTTCAATGCATGAGGCAAAGAGAACTGCGCATCCCAGCGATAAGTTTTTTCATGGCCGATGCTGTATTCGCCGGTGCTAGTTTGAATTGCTATAATATGGCTTTCCGTTTACCAGCCAACTGCTGCCTTCGTAAACGTCACGACCCCATGACAATATAATAGCTATGCAAACTATGCAAGATGACGAACGTCGCCAAGCATTTCTCGGATTGTTCAGAGGTACTTTCGACGCTAAATAACGATGTTGTCTCTTTCGAGCAACACGGAATTTCTTTTTCTCTTTCGAAAGGCGAACCCCAAGTCGTTCAGCATTCGTTGCATCGTGTGAGTGCTGATCGCCGACATGTCCATTTCCGGGTCGTTGATCATGCCGTTGCGTAGCTTCTCGGCCATGGGCAGTTTATTGCGCATGAAATAGCTGTGCACTTTGTGCCGCAATGCAGCCAACACCAACGTGTCGTAGCGCAGAAGCCTCATCTCGCCAGTCATACGCTTCCCAGCTTCGCCCGAGACCGAGAAATCTAGCTTTTTATGCTTTGGAGAGGAAAGTGGAGCCCTCAAAGCTTCAGCCTCGATTCGTGTCACCATTCGCAGACTCACTCAGGTGAGCTCAGCGACAGTCTGGCTCAGAGAATTGGTCAACAGCTCGGGCTGACGGCACCTTACTCCACCGTAGACATTGCAAATAATTTGCTTGCTTTGCTTCGAGACCCACTTCTTGTCATACTTAGAGTATAGCCTCCTTGGAAAATGAAATGGCGAGTTTGCGGCCGCACACGGTTCCGCCGGCACCGGAAACCCCATGTTTACTGCGACAGCAAGCAAAAAGCGTGCAGGAAGCGTGCAGAAAACGTGGTACCGTTCAAGAAATAAAAAAGAAAAAAATTAAGGCGCATGATAACATTTTTTTCATGAAGACCTTCCCATACTTGTTCTATATTTATAATGAAGAAAGCTTTATTTATTCGGGCCAGATAACTCTTAGAATTAGAAAATAAAATGGGTACTAATTCCTGGCGTGCACGCATGCAGGTGGTTTGGCTCTGTAGCTTCCACAGTGCGTCAGGAAAAGCTGCCGCCGAGTATACCTCTGCTTACACAGCCACTTGTGAATGAAATTGGACACAAGCGCCTTCGGCGATTCGTCGAAATAGCTGGGGAGCAACGTATGCTCACCTAAAGGCAATAACACCATTTTGACAGTGAGGTGCACCTAAAACAAGCGACGTTTTCAGATGCACAAAACACTAAATTACACTTCATAAAGCAAAACAAATAATTATATCTCTTTGGTTCGTTCAGTGTCTCCTTATAAACAGCATCCTGAAGAAAATAAAGTAACGCCGTTTTTTGTGACCTTCGTGTGGAAAACACAGACACATATGCGGGACTAAATTCTTCAGCGGTGGCACATGTCCACTTTGGTTTCGTAGCTTTCCCTTCATTGCCACAGAAAGTTGTCCCCGAGTGTAGTGCACTATAAATGTTACCAAGGTGTGTATCATTTCAATGAACAGCCTTACAGGAGCGGCCGGGGCAGCTGCAGCTTTCGCTGGTGAAGGCGACGCAACAGGTTCTCCGGCATCAAGACCACTGTTCCAAGGAGCCAGAGCACATGTGCCCATCTCTTTGCCGTCATCCTCTGACGTGACAGTTCCTCGAACTTCGCCACCATCCACAGACTCGACCACGAAGCTGAGCAGCTGTCCAACTCTGAATGACATGGGGTCGGATGTCAGCACACGAACAGTAGCAGCAGGCACTGTCAAGTGTGTTGGTTGAAGAGGAAAAATATCTGTGTTGGACTCTTCATTTCCGTAATCTATGTATCGCACTGTGTGTCCACTAGCAGTCTTTTTAGTCACGCAGGCCCGATACCATCGCTTGTCTTCCGGTGATCGGGAAGCAACAAAATCTCCGCAATCCACCCTGAAAAGGGAATAGAACATTTAAAACTGTGCAAATATCACACGAATCACTGCAGCTAAAGTGACCAAATGAAAGAAACATCAGCACACACACAAAAAAGCTAATGATTAGAGTTTGTTTGTAGAGGTTTCCAAGAAGAAAATTCAAGGACTTTTCAAATACTTTTCAAAAAATTTAAGAAGCAAGATTGTAACTTAGGGTAAATTTTAAGTTCAATTATAACAAAGTTTCACAAGAATCTGTGGTTTTGAAGCTCAGGGAAGGTCCTGTAGACTTTTTTCTATTTGCATCCCAATGCTATCAAATTCATCAGAGTTGACCTTCACAGTCTTTCACAGGCTGTTGAAGTGTGCTACCCTAGTGGCCGAGGCTAGAAAAAGTGTGCTTTTTTTTTTTAAGCAGTTTGCTGAAGGATACCACTAAAAGTAAACCAAAAGAAAACCTTTCAAATGCTAATACGTTCTACTGCAATAAGCGCATTCGAGCAACTTTTCTTTTTCCTGGAGAGCTCAAGATGCCGTAGTTTCATTGTGACTATCACCTAATGGGTTCTGGCCAATCAAAGCCAAAGCCAGCATGCATGCCTCGATATCGCCTGTTCAGTTCAGGAGGTCTGACAGTGCCCGACTTTAAAATCGCGGTGTCCCAGAACACGATCAGCAATAAAGTTAGCCCAGCAGCACGCTCAACTGCCATGAATTGCGAGTCTTACAATCAGACTTCGTAAAAATTTCCAATATTCCAGGGTTTACAACGCAAAACAAAATTACAGGACTTTCAAGGCCCCAAAAAGCAAATTTTCAGTTTCAAGTGTTTTCGAGGATTTCAAAGACCACTGCTCTACCTCAATTGAACACAGTAGAACCAGACACTAGGAGTAGGCTTGTGCGAAAATTTGAATGCTTCGTATAGTCGAACGAATACTACTGTATTTGAATTCACTTCGATTAGAATTTAGATTGTTGAATATTTGAAACTATTTGAAATGAACGAATAAGAGCATATTATTTTGCATGTAGCCCTCTGTGGAGGTAGTTTCACTGCAGTGGAAGAGTGCCAAGCCATGAAAGCACCTATTCAAGTTTACATTAACCACAGGCTTCCGCAGTCGGCGAATGCCGACCGGGTTGGCGAGGCTAAAAGGGCTTTAATCAGCGAATCGCCGGCCGCCTAGAAATATATCTATTTTCGACATTGTTTCATAAATGGCAGCACAGTATTTTGTGTTTGCATTTTGCTCGGTATATTATCCACTACATGGACATAGATGTCCGCGTTTTTTAGGTGTTTGTAAATTTTGAAGGGTGCACTATCCCAGCTTTTTCGAAACAAGGCGCCACAGAAGAAATGTTGTTTTACGGATGAAGATATTCTGAATCTTGTCTCCAACGGTGACCCAGAAAGTGACGCTTGTGATGATGACGATGTTTTGTTAGACTACGGGGACTGCAAAACTAATGAAAATGGCAGTGATGACGCAGAGAATGTGTGTGCAGCGGACGCCTCCATGAGTGCTTCGCAGACGTTTCCAAAGAAATGACAGTGCACAAAAAATTGCCAAGCACTCTTTCAGCGGTCAACAAAGTATTAGGAGATCCACAGAGCTTCAAGTAGGCGCAAATCCAAATGCTCTAGGAATGTTCAGCACGCTTCTTGGAAAAGAGATTTGGGAGATCATTTATTGCCGAAACGCGCATGTTGCGGCCTCAACAATGCTCCTACAAGCCGTCGAACGGGCTCACTTCCCTCACCACATCCTGTCAAACCAAGTCGAGCGGAATCCATCAAGCCTTTGCTTTGTTTGTAAGACACAGGGGAAAAAGTTTGAGAGCCAATGGGAGTGAGAAAAATGTGGAGTTGCTCTTCACGTGCCCGTGTGCTCTAAACTTTTTCACACACAAAAATCATACTGATGCAGTCAAGCATTGTTGAATTAAGCAAATAAAACAAAGCTTGTATGACATTTGTTGCAGATTTTACTGCGGTTCAGGTGCACTGAACCATGCTGCCGGCAGACGAAAAATTTTCCGGCAGTGTACCAGGCAGGAACGGCCGCGGAGAGTGCGGAAGCCAATAAGTTAATATAAATGTAACTAACAAGATGGTTTCACTGCAGTTAAGGAATGCTAAGCCATGAAAACATCAAACCAGCGGGAATCCGCATTGCTGTGCAGCCTCACTTTAAGATTGAATGAACACATAAACCTCACATTGATCATTTTTTAAGTTTAAAAGCTGTTACACCGGCTAATATGCTCTAAGTTAGTAAATTTCAAAACACAACATATTTTACAGGTTATCACTTGTGCTCTCCCGGAAGACAAATCCTGCTACTATTTAATGTTTCCACTTCCTTTGAAACACAAAGAATGGCATTCGTACAGGCCTTGTTTCAATTTCTTTTTTTAAGTATCGTTCAGGTCATCATGACAAATGTGCCAATTTCTCTTTGTAACACGTTAAACCTATACGATTGAAATTTTATTAGAAACCAGCTCAACTAAGAGCACTGAAAGGTGCAACTATAGTGTATTTATTATTTTGTACTACAGTGTTTTTGCTAAACAACTAGCCAGGGTGCGAGTTTCCCTAAGAATCTCTCATGTGCCAAGCTCACTAATAAACAGACTTGCTGACAGCTGCCTAGAACACTGCGTGCACCTGGCCTGGGCTTACAGGAAAAGCCACAGCCTAGCCAAGCACAGCTGATATGCAAAAAAAAAGGGGGGGATTAACTGCCCAAAAAAGAGAGTTAATTTGCCCAAAATTGTCAGTGAATAAATAAAATCCTAAGTACAATCACAGGGGTGAGACGGCCGAGACTGAATTCGGAACACTTTTGGGAGCAGCCAAATTTCAATTTTGGAGCAGACAAGCCTTGCTTTGGAGCAGTTAGAGGCATCTGATATGTTGTCCTAGGTGCTTTGAAAAAAACACATATTTAGCAACGTGGGGGCACAAGTGCATACCATATTTACTCGCATAATTTGAGCACATTTTTTCGCTATTTTGCAGTTCGGAGAAGGGGGTGCACAAATTACACAGGGATTTCAAGAGCACATACAAAATATTAAGACTCACGGTTTTAACGCGCGTAGTATATGCATTAAAAAAAAAAAAGAAACTGGAACACAGACGAAGTGTACTTAATTTTGAAAGAATTATCGCGTATTTCAGCCAGTCAGACTCGGTCAAGCAGGAATCACTGATAGCGAAATCCGATCGGGAATCATCGCCGCTGCCGCTGACACCGCCCTCCCGAAGCGCATCGTCCTCGGTTCCGTTGAGCGCGTTTGAATGCCCCATTTTCTTGAAGCTTTTTTGACAATGCTGGGAGAACCTAGGTCTTACAACATGGCAATACGGGAAGAACTAAGCATCTGCACATAAACTGAAAAGGCGTCCTTCAATGGCAGGAAACTTGCATTAGCAAACGCGCCCTCTTCTTTCTCGCGTACCGATCGCGCCAGTCATCACGTTGAAGTAAGTCCCCTTGAAGTGCTTTAGGAGCGGCATGCTTCCCATTTTCTCTGGCGAAATTTACGACAACGAGCTTCAGTTTCGCCGTACATATAATTGCTGTAGCACATTGCAAGAGAACCGCCAAAACGCGCCGGCCGGATGGCGAAACCTAAACTTCCGAAATCGACCAAGCGTGCGTTGCAGCGCAAACGCAGAGAACGAGGAGAACAGTTGATGCGACAGGCCCTCGCACGCCTCCGATGCAGAAAGTCGTCCCGTGCCGTAACAGCACGCATGCTCACCATTTATCGCGGTGGTAGAGATTGGGAGATAAGGGGAGGCAAACGCTTGAGCAGTTCGGGTGTGGTACTCTAGGAACCCTAGTTAGGGGGGAAGTCCTAGGAGAAGGGACTTCGCATGCGCAGCCTGTTTGAATGCGCTCGTTTGTTCAACGACACGCGCACCCGGCCAAAGCATCGAAATGTCCAGAGGTGTGCGTGCCGGCGAGCTGGCTCGGGCGGGTCAGGGACCACCAAATAAGCGAGTAAATATTTTTTTTTCCCGAAAAGCTGGCAAAGTTGGCAAAAGCTGGCAAAAGCTGCAAATTAGGGGTGCAATTTATGCGAGGGTGCAAATTATGCATGTAAATACAGTATTTTAATTGGTTTGTAATACATATTACACTGAAACAGACTTTGAAAAAAGTTTTTGAACAGATTATCGCCGGTTATGAACTACACTACCTTTTTGCATTCCATGCGACCCATCTAGCCCTTGTAACAAACATGTGAAATAATATTAAAAAAAAAAAAAGGTTTTGAGAACTGGGTTCACCAGAAACGTTTGAAAAGAAAAAACGCATCACACACGTAAAAAATACAAAAAAATTGCGGTCGCACAAGAATTGTAGTTAAGCAACAGTGGGCTTTCGGTTAAGAACAGTGACATGACTTAGTATACAATAGTACTGCTTTCACTTTTTGTACATATGCTTCACTATCTGCTCAGCTGCGCGGTTCGCATGCCTCTTGCATGCAAACCAGGAGCTCAACGACCGTTTCTGTCCAGGTAACTGCTTCTGCCTGAACACGATAATCATTCGACTATAGGAGTGACTCCCACTCCCCGAGGGAGGAAGCTGGCAGTAATGTCTTTGGAGGAGGGTTTCCCCCACATTCCCCAAAAATGTCATTTTGGGTAGCTCTAAGGCAGACGCAATGTTGGCAGTGTGGTCGAATGTCCTCTGGGTAAATTTTAGACAGCCAATGAGGGCTCGGAAAAGAATGTGTTTGAATTTGACTCGAAATCGTAGCCTGTTCCCTTGTGAGGTCAGTATGTGGGGTCGCGTCTGTTTTGCGGTTCTCTCTGTAATTACCGGTAATTTCGTTCTATTTGGTGATCCCTTTCTGCGGGAAGTCTAGGGCTGAAGATTCCACCTCCCGGTTGATGAAACCTCGGGCTACACGGTGAGCTGCCTCCTTCCGTGGACTCCCCGCGTGAGCGGGCACCCATACAAGTACTAGTTCATCGCTTCGTTG